AAACAATCAAATATTTCAAGAAGAATTTTTAATTAAATTCCTTATTTTAATTGTTGGTATAATATTTAATTAAAATTATTAGAATATTAAATAAACAATTCAAAGAAACAATTTATTTTGTTTATTTAATAGTTTATTATTAATAACTAAATAATATTTTATTATTCATAAACTTTTTTTAGTGAATTTTTGAAGTTGTTTACAAAAAAAATTTAAATGTTTATGTAATATTTATATTAATTGTTTATTTAAATTGTTAATTGAATATTTCATTATTTATTTAATATTTAATTGTTTAATTATTTATTTCAATTAAATATTAAATAAATAATTAAAAATTCAAGAAAAAATTAAACTATAATTAATATCAAATAATAAAATTAAAAAAGAAATTAAATATTAAATAAACAATTAAAATAATTAATTTAAAATTAAATATATAATTAAGATAAATAATGAAATAGAATATGTATTTAATATTTAAAATTAAATGTTCAATAAACAGTTAAATTAAATAGTCAATATTAATTAAAAAATTAAATAACTAATTTCGGAAACAAAAAAATACGATTAGGCCGTGTGGATTCCAGACTGCCCAATCAACATTTGGATTTGAGATGTCTGGGCCGTTGGAATCCACACTGCCCAGAAACTGGGCCATTTGGATTCCAAATGACCTGGACGTCTAGAATCCAGATGGGCTCAATCCAAACGGTCGAATCTAGACGTCGATGATCAGTCGTCGCAAATGGCGAAGATCGCCATTTCCGGCGATCTCCGCTCCCAAAGCACACAAAAAACCTCAATTTTATGCATAATTTATTGATCTACAACAAGTTCTACAAAGGTTATTCAACAAATCAATATACAACATGTTTTATTTATTCAATGAACATACAAACATGCTTTATTTACTCAATTAATGTATATAAAGGTTTCAAAACTCACCTTCTTTAGAGAAATGTCGATCTCCGGTTTGGGTCATCGATTTTTCGGCCATATGGGTCGTCGATTTCTCCACAACTTTTTCTCTCCTTTCTTTCTTCCAAATGGCGTGAGGATAAAAATGGCTTTTCATTGCTTTATAAGTGTTTATTAATTTTTCCTTTTTTTTTTACATAGTCAATAGCCATTGTGGGAAGATGGCACTATTTCTTTGTCTGGAGAATCAATTCAAATACATTGCCTAGGCTGGTCTTGTTTTAAACAATCATCCGAAGGCAACAAAATCTTGACAGGGCGTACGATGAATACAAATTAAGAGCTTTTGTTTGGAATAATAGAGAAAATATGTGGTCCATTCTTATGTGAGAATTGGGTATATTCAGTTAAAAGCAGATACCTTGCAAGGGGCTAAACTGTTCGAGCTATTGAGCTTTCATTTTTTTATGTGTTTTTGTGTGCTTTAGTAATTAAAAAAAAAGTAAAAAAATAAAATATAATAAAAATATTTCTTTTTGTGTTCCAAAATCTTGTTGCGTTTTTTCTATCGCAAGTGTATGATATTATAATAAGTAATATAATGGACATTTGAGTTCGGATTATCGTTCCCACGAGAACTATACATTAGAACTTAATTAGATTTTTCTAACTCCTATTTGATGAAAGAAAACAAAGATTTATACGTTGATGTGATTTTTTTATTTAAACAGTTTAACTTAATTAAAATACACACAAAGATTGGTTGAGATTTCAAATAATTGATGAAAATTAGGGATGGACAATTTCACTCATTGATCACATTTGTGTCCTAATTCAAGATTCAAGAGCTTAATTTAGTGTTTGATCGAATTCTTTTATGGTATTCAATTACCCGTCTCGAGTTCTCATTGAACTTATTTAACTAATTCAATCACATATCTCTATGCGAATCTACATTAGTTAAACGAAATATTAGTTCTAAGAATTCATGTATGATCGCAATACTTAGTATAAGTATCTCTAAATATTATACTAAATTACCAAATTTTACTATATTGTTTAAATCTCAAACTCACCTCTCAATTCGTAAAAGATTCACGAAGTCATCAAATTAATGATCAAATAATTTAATGCATTAGTTTCATAGTAAAATCAACACATGAATGATAAAATATCAAGAATCTTGAATAAAAGATATACATGTTTTCAAGTAGATTATATCGTAATATAAAATTTAGCTATTCATACTAAATGAAAAAGAAAAACTAAAAGTTGTTATTGAATGTAAATAAATGTAAAATAATACAAAGTATTTAATGGCAAATGAATAGATTACATTTTTTTGTAATGAAAGAACGTACTGCTCTTGACATTAAAACAATATTTTGACCCTATAATTTAATAAACTAACAAAATAATCGAATTTCCTAGCAATTACACGAAAAAAGAGCAAAGTCTACAAACAAACACAAAAAACAATTCTAAAATATATTTCTTGAAATAAACTTCAACAACAAAGCCAAATACAATAACAGAAGCATAATCGCCATCGCATCCCCAGTACAGATATACTTGATAAAAAAACTCCGCACACTTCACGAAAATCTAGTTATCACCACAATAGAGCAAAAATGCAACAACTTGAAACCACCACAAAAAGAAATACAACAGAGAAAAAAAATCAGCACAACTGTTAGAA